AGGCGATACTTGGAATGCCAAGAAGGAAATGTTGCAGATGCATTTCGCTAACGAGCAATAAAATTCATTCATTAAAAAATTGTCGAATCCCGAGATTATTCCAACCCGCCTATTCGGTTATCAACGATCAAGAAGTCGTATGATTTGAGTTTTATTGTAAAATGTTTCCCGTTTTTCTTTCTTCCTTCTTCTTTTTTTTTTTTAATTCTAAATCAGTAATTACTAAATCGAACTGGTAATTTAACATTTTTTTATCACTAAGAGGTGAGTGGAAACGAAAATTGAATTATCTCTGTCATATGCTTAATTACCATTTGTCCTTCTTGGCACGATGTCAGTTTTTATTATGCAAGCCAATATTCCCACAATAAAATATACAAGGTGGGCTAAAAGTAGGTTTACAGTTGTTTCACTATTTCCTTTATGATGGGCACGCAGCCGAGTGATTAGAACGTTCGCATTCTGAAAATGAGACTAGGGTTCGAATCTCACCATGGTCAATATATCAGGAAGGAGACTTCCTGATGTTATCAGACTGGAGGAGTCGATCCCAGCTTGCGGCACCTTTTGGAAAGTGCCTGAAAACCATACCACGGGGTGAACCAAGCCTTTATTTAGTGAAATTGAGTAGACGGAACGATTGGGTACCGTCGATAGTTGTGCTAGAACGAAGTCAGAAGTCATCGTGGCCGTGGGCTTGAGCCTGCTGGCCTTGTTCAAATTGTTGATCACCTTAGATATGAAGGTCTTTCCCTGAAAATGTAACTAAGGTCTGCTCAGCAGTTTCATTATAAACCACAGGTTGGCTCTGTGGGGGTTGAATAAACACTACTGCGCCTGAGCAAACGTCTGCAATAGGGATTAGCTAGCCACCCTACTAGGCCAGTTATACATATAAATATACACGCAACTCATTTTTTCGCCTTCGATCTGATGAAGCCCAATCGGCGAAATGCAGTTGATTTTTTTAAAACATTATGATTCTACCCCTACCGTCAGACACTTAAAGCAAAGAACACAATATATATATATATATATATATATATATATATATATATATATATATATATATATATATATATATATAAGAACATGCAGATTCATAAGTCCTGTGAAAAGTAAACTAGGTAAAATAAGTAACATAATAGTAATAAAATGTCACACCAAATTCGTTATGGTAACTATATCTAATAAAAGTCGACATGGAATATTTATCATATCGCTATAAATATACTGTGAAATATTTAATCAAAAATGTTTCGGTTAATGTCAATTTTATGGGAGAAATATTGACTTGCATAATAAATTCTGGAATCGTGTCCTTCCTCGCGTCAGAGATTCTCAATTGTGTTCCGTTATTTGTGTGTGTGTGTTTCGTTCTCTGATTACTGCTCATTGTCCATTGGTTTGCGTTTAAGCAGCAAATGTCAGGAATTAGTGATCTGCTTGTTAACGTGTAATGAGGTTAGATTTCTCGGATGACAGGAGACACTGACGAACCATTGTTATGGTCTTCTGTTCTCTTATCGTAATAATGACAGATCATCTCATGCGGAACTGATGAAAAAAAAATCTTAAAGAAAATGTGAAAGAGTTTCAGAAAAATATATGTTAGTGTACCTTATAGTGAGAGAGAGAGAGAGAGAGAGAGAGGGAGAAAGAGAGAGAGGGATGAACTGATAGATAGATAGATAGATAGATAGATAGATAGATAGACGGACATGTAACTCCAAGAGAAAATAAAGGCATTATCAAGATGTTGACATTTCACATTACTTCAAATAAAATTTTAGTTTTGTACTAAAAAAATGCAGAAAATGCACCCAATATTGGTTATGCGTAAAAGGCATGTTCCTCTTACAGGATAATACAAAACCATATACTTCCCGAGTTACTTAGGGAAATAATTTAGCGCTAAAACTGGATTTTTTCCTCATCCTCCTTACTCTCCTGACCTTGCTTCATCTGGCAATCATCTTTTCAGATCATTGCAATATTTTACTTAGGGGAAACAGTTTATTAATTGCGAAAAATAAAAACTGATATTGAGTGTTTCTTTGCATCAAACCCTGAAATATTTTACAATCGAGGGATAAAGAAATTGCTAAACAGATAGAATTGTCATCGATGATTATCTTGATTAAATATATTAGTTAAGACCAAAGAAGCGTTTGTTTCATTTCCATCTTCAAATGCGACAGGACTTTCTTTCAATCCTACTAATAAGAAAAAGAATCAATCTATTACTGTTAGTAATGTATACTAAAGTTTTAAAATTTCCTCGCTTGTATATCGTTTCTTAAGTAATTGCATCTGATTAAAATCAGTGTCGGTATTTAGTGAAGCAACAGCTTGCTTTAATTAACTTCTGGCAAAATAAGTCCAAATAGTGTTCCAAATCTTTTGATACTGGATTTCATCCATTGTACAATGATTGCAGGTTATTGCTGTATTTTGTTACTTTGTGATATTGCTCCAATTCCGTCAATATTTTCTTGTAATTTTCATTTCAGAAAAAAAAAAAAAAATTAAAGCAATTGACGATGACCGACTAAAATATATTAAAATATGGAAGTCTCGAAAGATTATCGTACATTTGCATCTTGATCAATCTTGCGTTGCAGAAAATCCATAATGGCGTACAGAATGTCTGCCATGCGAACTGCTCTCTGTATATAAATGTAACACGTTGAGCTGTTGATTGTTTTTTTTTATTGATTGATTCTTTTTCTACATATTATCAACCCTTGGCAAGTTATTTAAAGCTAGAAAGTCTTTTTAGATTATAAGAATATCTTTTGAGATAATAATAGTTCGATGATACAAGTCTTACTAATTGTGCCACAGTTGCGTGGGAATAAGAAGTGAACTCATACTTTTCCCAATAATATTGGCGCGTAAGTGAATATAATGAACCCAAGCGAAATTGGAACTCGGCTCTAAGATTTCCAATTCCGAGACATTACCTATTGCACCCGACGTATATCCAAGCTTACAGCACCTGAAATTCCCAAGCGGTTAATCATCTACATACTAAGCAGGCTCGACGTTGCTTAACTTCGGTGATCGTACGGGTTGGGCTGTTTGAGGTCTGTGCGTGGAATCGTTGTCAGGAGATACTTTAGTTAAACCTCTTGAAAAATAAAAGAATTTATCGGAAAATAAAAAATATAAAGAAACCTTTTTCTGCTGTTATTTCAAGAACCCGTTATTGTAACCCGTCCGATTTTGCATAAACCTTTAATTATTACCTGATTTTTTATAGACAGTGCCGATATTTTTTTATTTTATTTTTTTTTGTTCAGACTTCATATATCGACAGGTTTCATTGAGCTTAAAAGCAGTAATTCGACCTTGCTAACTAATGTTCCATATATATATATATATATATATATATATATATATATATATATATATATATATATATATATATATATATGAAAAAAAAATACAGAAAAAAAAAAAATTCTGAATATGCATTATTAATGTTAAAATAAAGTCGACGTCGGACGTTTCGGTCTATTTAAAACCATCTTCATGGACATTTTCATTTAAACATAATTAACATTATAACTTATAACAATTTAACACAAAAGACGATGGACATAAGAGCCCAACTAATTCAGACAGATAACTGAAATTTTATACAGATCAGCGTTCTGTTTAAATATGATCACGTAGTCGTCACGTGGGCGATGTTGTTAAGACGTATTCGAAGATGATTTCCAAAAATTAAAATATCAAAAAGTCGAATGAAAAATTTTTATAAAAAGTTAAAGAAATCTCTTCCCTTCATGTTGGAATACGTAGTGATCAATTGGTTCTTATATCTTCAACAAGCTTGAAAGTCCTTCCCGTTACAGTGCAAATCCAAAAATGATTTTAAAAACGATGGAACAATAGACCGAAACGTCCGACGTCGACTTTATTTTAACATTAATAATGCATATTCAGAATTTTGTTTTTTTCTGTATTTTTTTCTTTCATACTGTCGGATTTATATCCATATATTTTTTATATATATATATATATATATATATATATATATATATATATATATATATATATATATATATATATATATATATATATATATATATATATATATATATATATATGATTAGTAAACAATAAGATCCAAAATCACCTCATATGGGGAATAGCCTGATACCGGATTTTACGGTGGTCTGAATGGGTTAAGAATGCTCTGTTCAAAACTTTCGAACACTCCTAAGTTATAATACTTGGTCTGATCAAATGTATCAGGACTAGTACTATAAAAAGAAAACTACAATGCATATCAATTTAATCTCCTTCTAAGTAGTCTGATTCTGAAGTCGCAAACTTTATCCAGCATTGTTTTCATTGATAGAAACATTTCTGGAACGCGTTTCTTAGAATCACGATCAGCTGCCTCGTTGCATTCTGTTGAATGACCTCGACGCCTGAAAATCTTGTTCCTTTTAAGTTGGATTTTGAAGAGGAAAACATCGCAGATCTGAGGAATATGGTAGTTTTCGGACCTGGAGAATGATATGCTCTATGATATGGTGAGACATCTACAGACTTCCCTTCTTAGCACCGCGGAAGTGAACGAGAACGTTATAACTCAGTGTGCATGCGCAACAGAGTTCAACGTCAATCTATGTAAAGCAACCTCACCCTGCGTACTTTAGCTCCGTTACCATAACAACAGTGCCGATATTTTCTTATCAGACTTCGTATATCGACAGGTTTCATTGATTTATTGTGCTTTTATACCGGAATCTTTGCCTTCACGATTCTTAGTCTCGTCTCAATTCCTCTAGGATTTTGTATTGCAGCTGTTCTCGATGTCCAAATATAGAAACACTAATTTCAGCCAATGGGTGTATATTTTGTTAGTGATTTATTATTATTATTATTGCTACTACTACTACCAAATTTACAAGGCATCGTAATATTTTAGGGTTAGTTTTTAATCATATCGCTCCAAGCAACTCAATAAAAACACTAAGACACAAAGAAAGGGCTACTGAGTGTTAGAGAATATGAGAGTTATTCTGCTAAGGAGCCAGAACAATAAAAGAACAAGAATTAAGAAAACAAATGATTATTATTGACATTGCATTTAAATTTTTGAAGACCAAAGTTGACTAGGAAGTGAGAAGACGTAAAAGAGTTGCAAAATTAGAAAGTGCAAGAGAAGAAACTTTTAGTTATTCCGAGTTATTTCAACTGTAAAATGATGAGACTTTGCTACCAATCTAGTATTACGCTTAAATTCATAAAGTCTAGATACAATAGAGGAAATTTAATCTGTTCCTAAGCCTGCTACCAGTCCTTACACAAATGATATTGACTGATTACGGTTGACCCCGTTTTCAGTCAACAATGTCTAACCAGAATATTACCTTGGTTTGTTCGCGTTGACTCATTGAAATTGCTTACTAACCAAAAAAAAAAAAGGAAAAAAAAAGAAATTATTATGGATACACAGTTATTAACCAAAGTATAAGACCGCCTCGTTATTTTATCTGAAAGTTAAAAACAACACAATAAAAAGTAATTTATGAGAGACTGGCTTCACAAATGTGTAAATGGCGATGTTCCCTAAACATTTCAAGCAAAATAGTCCGACAGTTAGTATTTCTTATGATTTCCTTTGCTTTTGATTTCTACTTTGTCACGAGGTGTCATGGCGAGAATCAAGTTACCGTAGTCAACCGAGTTTCTTTTGTCAAGACCTCTTTAACAGCCTCGGTCAGTGCTTTGCTACTTGAACGTACTTTTATTACAACACGGTTTTTGATAATTTCCAATAAATTTTCAATTGGGTTTAGATTTTGGGCTGTTTCCCGGGCAGTTCAGTTTTATAACGTTGGTCCTGTTCGACAAATTCTGAATGACCTTTGACTTGTGTCATGAAGCACCATTGTGCACCATACCTAGCACCATTCATCAAACCGACCTGCCACTATTTTTGATTTGTGACACGGTGGATAACAGAGCATGGGTGCGCAGTAGTCGTAAGCTAAGACATGTAATCAGTTACAATACCTAGATACGTTGCGCCATTTTAACGATTCTTTTGTTGCCAAGCGCCCCAATGTGTGCCAATAAAATATTACCCACATCATTACATCACCACCTCCATTATCATTCTAGCTGTTGTGGCAGGATGGTTTCATACTTTCATTTTACGTAAGCCGTATTCTGGCCTTACTACCAAAATATCGTAGCAGAAATCTAGACTCAAAAGAAGATAGAACATTTCTTTCCAATATTCTAATGCTCAATCTTTGAGATTTCTTAGCGAATTGTAGTTTCACATTCTGGCCTGATTCATCTGCGACTGTAGCCCATCTGCTACAAGGCTCGACGTGTTGTAAGTACCGTGAAGTGCTTCGGTATAGCTCCGTCGTAAAGAGAGAATATTTGAGCTACGCTTGCATTTCCATCAACTTGAAACAGCTTGGCCATTCTCTTCCGATATCTTTCATCAACGAGGGATTAACTCCACACAGAATTTCCGTCCATTGAATTAATTTCTCCTTCTCCAATCAGTCTCTGTTAACTCTAAAGGAGGTATTTCGTGAATATCATAGAAGACACGCATGTTTGGCACCAAGACTATATCAACTAAAATATCTTTCTTTCTCATACGTATGAAATGAAATTCGCCAGGTCGTCAAGATTGTGTTTAAATTCCAATATCTATTAAGTTCCTTCCACAGCGTTGGTTGATTAGGAATGCATGCAATTAAATGGCCAGTGTGTACAACTTAAGCATATTAAATATTTTGCTACCTAACGTCCCATATATATATATATATATATATATATATATATATATATATATATGAAATGGAGTAAGCCCGACAATTACATTGATATATTTTATTGTCATACATATAATAATAAAAGATATTAAAATAATTTATGACGTCATTTGTTTACGTTAACATACACTTCAAGAAGATATGAACGATCGAGGGAAATCATCGGTAATTTGTAGTTTAAAAGCAGTAATTCGATCTTGCTAACTAACGTCCTATATATATATATATATATATATATATATATATATATATATATATATATATATTCAATTAGTAAACAATAAAATCCAAAATCACCTTATATGAGGAATAGCCTATTTCGGCAGGCGAAGAGAGAGAGAGAGAGAGAGAGAGGGAGAGAGAGAGATAATATTAGTGGATCATATACATATATATATATATATATATATATATATATATATACTTACACATGCATATATATATATATATATATATATATATAAATAAATTTACAAGAGGATAGAATCCATGTAGAACTCAATGTCCAGGGCAGAGTAAGAATATAATAAAAGACTTAAACACTAATATTCCATGGTTATAATTTATTACATTGGAATCATAATTACGATCCAATTCATCAGACCAACAAATTGAATTTGTAGGTTTGATGAATTGGATCGTAATTACGATTCCAATTATAACCATGGAATATTAGTGTTTAAGATTATATATATATATATATATATATATATATATATATATATATATATATATATATATATATATATTTGAAATCGAGTAAGTTCGACAGTTATTTTAATGTATTTATTGTTTATGTATTTAATGTATTTATTTTTATAGATACGGATATTTAATTAAATCCTCTGTTTATAATAAGCAGTACTAACATCATTTACCGACCGGAATGTACGAGAAATTTCAGAGAAAATGTGTCCTCTGATAGGAATCGAAACTGTATCCTATACGGTGTTGACACAGCACCAGTGGGCCTCTTCAACGCAATGTCACCAGCTCGAGAAGAAGAGTTCATTCAACATCCACGTGTTCGCGTCCAAGGCGAGCCACCTTACTTGCGTACATCGGTTGTTGTCTAAACTGTCGCGGGATGGGCTCCACCAGACACGACCGATGGAAGATGGAAGAGAATGGCGGACAGTTCAGGACACCGGTGCCCCAATGACTCCTTCCTGGGTTTAATGGCTAAAGAAGAAGAAGAATATTATATATATATATATATATATATATATATATATATATATATATATATATATATATATATATATCGTAAAAGTAATTTATACAAAGAACTAATTATCAATGTTAATGTGATTAACGATTCACTTACTATCAATTCCTTGAATAATACAAACCTTATATTTGAGTTGTCAGATGGAAGTGACTAGCCAGGAAATTCGACAATTTCCAATTGTCATCTTCGGGGTACAATTTTCCCATACACAGGCAAATACTAAGACGAAATATGTGTGAACCGAAAGATGATTTTTTTTTAAAATTATGCTATTTATCGACAGTTAAATATATATTTGGAGCGTGCGATATTTCGTCTTAGTGTTTGCCTGTGTATGGGAAAATTGCACCCCGAAGATGACAATTGGAAACTGTCGGAAGTACTCTCACTTCTGTCTGACAACTCAAATATAAGGTTCGTATTATTCAAGGAATTAATAGTAAGGTAATATCCCATTAAGACTTGTTAGCGAAGTGATTTCGCCATTAATCACATTAACATTGCTAATTAATTCTTTGTATAAATTACTTCTTTTTGATATAATATATAAGCGGCACACTCTAATATATATATATATATATATATATATATATCGCATCAATGCGCACACACTCATACGCGGGTATATGTGGAGCACGAATATGTATACACATATTGGCAAAAACAATAGACTGCTCAAAGGCACGCGCGCAAACCCTACACAACATAGAAAGTGTGTGTATGTATGTATATATGTATGTGTGTGTATGTATGTATATATGTATGTGTGTATGTATATATGTATGTGTGTGTGTGTGCATGCATGTGTGTACTAATTCCTTATAATAAGACAGTATGTGTGTACAGAGCGAGAGTGCGCATGTACATGCGCGTACTGGTATATATATATGTACACATATTGACAAAACAAAAACTGCTCACGGGCGCACACGCGAACCCTACACAATATAGGAAGTGGGTGTAGGTGTGTATGTGTGTATGTGTATGTATGTATGTGTGTGTATATGTATGTGTACATAAGTGTATACTAATTCCTTATAATAAGTAAGTCAGTATGTATACATGGAGAGGGAATATACGTATGCGTACGCATGCTGAGAAAAACAAAAAAAAATGGAAATAGATCAAAGAACACATAGATGTCATTGAAAGATAAGAATATAGATATCTTTCTCACCCTTTCTCGGACCAGTCTTAATTATTTTATATACCCTTCACGCAGAACTTTTTCACTGCCAGTTCAAGAAAGACATTTGGGCCACTAAACTACAAAAATAAAATGTCTAATATCGAGAATATTTAACATCGAAAAACATTAAGAAATTAATTTCTTTTAATATGTGGAAATATCCACTCTTTGCCTGATGAAGGTCGCGAGGAAAATATACGTGTAGCAAAATTATGGAAAATAAAGCATAATATATATATTTTTTTTAAAATTCACATTACAACCAAAAACGTTTGCGGTTTCTGTCTTCTTTTTATTATAAACACTATCCTCTCGTTGGAATCACTATAACCTCTTCCCTTTACACCACAAACTCGCTTTCACGACGCTTGACACTACATATGAATGAAAACTCTAACAGTTTTAGGCATTTAAAACAACATGCCTGGCCGCATACACAATTCCGTAAAATCCTTGTCGAAAACACAATTATACTTAAACATGAAAACAATAAACAAAAGTTAAAAATTCTTGAGGCTATATACATAAAACAGTTGAAACCTAACTTAAACAAAATAAACTATGTAATCTCCACAAATATCCTTAAATGTCAATAATTGGTAACAGAAGCCATTGGTTTATACCAACGACTTCCCATACTTAATACTTCTCGAATTCACTCTCGTGTGGTCATGTGTGACGTCAAGAGCTGCGGTGCGATTTTCGCTTTCAGCGTCTTATATGCACGTGTTTATCGTTGCTTGGAAATCATCCATATAAGCAGAAACAGACTATCATCACATTGTTGTCCGTGCATTGTTTAATATATTGTAGAGTAAATGTCATCTTTTCAATTTCAAGGTTTTCTCCTCGATTGTTTTCCATTTAAAGACTAAAGAATGAAGCTTTACCTACTATTTGCGCAAAGTTTGGAGATGTTCAAAGTTGGAATCATTTTTTTCGTGGTAAATTCAAAAGTATAAGCCGCCAACAGAATTTGAACTTGGTCTTCTAATTCTATTTCCTGAACAGATAACAGTTACGTCACTTGCAGATACATAATAATATCTGATAAGATAAAGAACAAATTGGAAAGGTTTATTAATATAACATGTTTCACTTTTATTAAAGCCTTATCAGAGAATGAGACATGGAGTAAAAGAAGAAAGAAATTCTGGTATATATTCTGGTATATAATATAGTATACAATCCGTATGTCCCAAAGAGGAGAGAAAATTCGAAAGTGATCTACGTTACTGAAAGCATCAAAATAATAACACACTGTGTAGTTTCACAATATTAACGCTCTGTGTAGTTTCACAAAGATGGAAGATGATTTGTTCATGGGGATATTTATGCACTGAAAAATATTTAAAATATATATTCATTTTTTAGGTGGTGACAGAAGGCTTTATAAGAAATTTGAAAATGTTACGTATATGTAGAAATTGGACGTCTTTAACGTTTCTGTTCGGAGAGGATAAATCTTCACCCTTCCACGGATGTTCATTCTGCCCAGTCAAACGAGCTGAGTCAAGAGAAATAACAAATGTGGTTATCTTTTAGGCAATAAAAACCGTTGGCGAAATTTACATATTTTTTTTTTTTTTCCCGGTAGCAGGAAAAAGAGTGACGGTTACTCTTAATGAAAAAGGAATCGGCAAACTGAGTTCAAATTTCATTAATGCCCTTGGGGTAGCCATAAACAATTTTCCATTGTGCTTCCACTTGCATGTCACAACGGTTGAAGAAAAACAGAAGAGGTACGGGTGCACTGGGAGACAAACATAGTTTCCCATTAATAACTTCATTTAAATGAAAGCAGTTTTGTTTTGTAGACGTTAGAATTTACAAAGGTTTTATTGACTCTGTTAACCACTGATTGGAGTTCCTTTTCGAAAATAGTTGTCAGGTTTACTTTCTCGGATCTGACAGACTAGTTACTAAGACAGGAGTAAATGGTTGTGCCATCTGCATAAATGCCTAATTGGGGAAAAAATACATCGCAAAGTTCATTGATGAAGATCAGTGTTATGGTAATTTACCCACGCACGCATGGATTCTCCCAGCTATAAATAGGAGTAGGTACTGCCTTTTTGGGAGGGTAAAGTTTCCAGCAGTCAGCTCTGACAGTCGGACCGAACATTCTTGCTATAACACTCTCGTTTGTATATGTTTGTATTACTGTTTCTGTTAAAATATTCGTTTAACTCAGTTCGTCTCTTGTCTCTATTTCTGGCCCTAACAAAGCCACTAACAATCAGAAAAAGCGTTGGTCCAAGAATAGAGCCCTTGGGGAGCCCTTCGTTGATATGAAAGGATCTAGAATCATGCCTGTTCAACATTACATGATTTTATTAGGAACAACTGCATTTATCCAAACCCGAGGCTTCTACGTTATGCACTGAGTTTGTTTGTATATATAATTTGAAATAAGAAGCAAGTAACGTATAAACAGAAAATATATTAAAAGAAGCGAATGTATAACTGTCTTTTTTTTTTAACAGCCAACGTAGCTGACATCATAGAGCGCGTGCGGTATCAACAATATCACATCTCGCGTATTTCCATGACTGCTTGTCACGTCACTTCTCAATTCCGGGTGATATTCAAAGATATCATCTTAACACGTCGATAAAAAAAAAGAAAAGAAGATTCTTTTCTAGATATTTGTCTGTTGTTTTTGGTTGTTTTCATTTATATTCTGGCTGATCAATTTTCATAAAAAATATTTCAGCTGCGAACACAGTGAGTATATAAAAGTTCAAATTAGACGCGTGTTTGAACACTAGATCTTCGTTTCTTAAATTCGCAATGTTTGTATTTAATCGTATGCGCATGCGTCTATTCACAGTTTTATCCGCACCATTTTACCCGAGTCTATAATATATACGCGAAGAGGAGACAGAAAATATTGAATATTAATACATAACAATATATACTTGTGCTAATCCGTATCACTAGGCTACGTAAGGTAGTCACAGGAGATTTCAGATTTATTCCTTTGTTAATATTATTGACTGACTGTGGCGACACCAGTCAGCTTTCAAAAAAAGATTATGGCAATAATAGACAACTGTGACTATACATTCAATTTACTTTTCTCTTGGTTTGTTCACATAATCTCCGAAGACGTGTAAGCCGAATACGAATATCTAATATATTAAAATAAGTGCCTTTTTTATATTTTCCTGATAACCTTTCCAGATTATTCAGAAAGTTGAACTAGACGTAAAAGGAAAAGTGAAAACGAAAGAGGAAGAATACATAAAAAATGTCAGGTGTGGAATTAGTAAAAACTAAACACTTATAACAAATTTAGTATTAGAGATCAGAAAACTGAACCTAGAACAGGCTGCGCTAGGGTTAGTTTCCCTCCATCACCGAAAGTTGCGACAAAACCAAATCATCATGCTAAAAACTCGTGTCATATAGTTAAATAGCTCCTTGGATCGAGACATTTTTTTTTTTTTTTTTTTTTTTACAAATATTCACTTAATACAAGGCTCAAGAGCCACTAAAGGTAGTGGGTTACTATTTAGATTTATACTGACGTAGTAAAGAGCACGCATTAGGAGTAGAGAACTGAATCAGAAATTGCAACTGAGCTCCTCTTTTAATAATTCCGGGATATTATCCATTACACCACCTGCATATTCAAGCTTAAAGCACCTGCTATTCTTAACCGGTCACCCATCTAGGTACAGACCAGGCTGGAGGTTCCTTAACTTCGGTGATCCTAGGGGAAACGGTGTTTCAACGTGATGTGATCGTAAGCCAGGTGCCAATGAAATACCGAATAGCAGGCATGAAAGAGAGTCTGCTTGAAATATTGTTCGATTAATTTGTTATCACATCTGATTTCGCCATTAAAGTGACTGAGGATTAAGGTAGTAATTAATTTTATTCATGTTAACATTCAAAAATCTATTAAGTGTCGGAGGAATCTTTATTAGTTCTCGTCTCGGTAGAGTATTGGAAAGCGGATCGGATTGAGGAATCGGAGAGCCGAGTTCGAATTCCAGTCGAATCCATTATATTCACTTACGTTCTAATATCCTTGGGAAATGTATGAATCATCATCTCCCTTCACCAGCTATGGGTAAATAGCAGGATGGGTTCTATAGCCTTGGTTGGCTACTGGTCTATCGCAGAAAGAAATGGCAAACTACTTGGGGAGAAAGTCAGTCATGTATCGAAATATACATGATCGTCTAAGCTTGTATCACGCAAGGCACATAACTGGTTGATTATGATCCAGACGTGCAGAACGTTATCAAAATCTTTATAGTTTGTTTGGGTTTTTATATTTATACAATCAGTTTGAACCGCCAACTTACAACTTCGTACTTTTGGTCTGCATCTGATATTTGCAGTCGGGAGAACCTGTTTTTTTTTTGGGGGGGGGGTGCCGCCCAGGGATAATGTTCTACTACATTTCAAGGAATTGAGATATGCTCTCAAATTAAAATCACTGAGTGCTTCGTATATTATGGAGAGACGTGTGACTTTTTAAAAAAATCAATTCACTCTAATCAAGGCAATAAAGCAGCTAAGACGCAAGTAGGGTTACTGAGTGTTAGAGAGTATGTAAAATAATGAGAAATAATGTTAAGGAGAAGGCTTAATAAAAGAACAATAATTAAGACGACGGTAGATAACGATTGACATTGAATTTAGATTTTGAAGATTAGAGGCCGGAAGAGAGTTTCACAAACGAAAAGTGCGATAGAAGAAACTGTTAGCATAGAACTTACGGTTAGATCTAGCCAATATCCTCAAATGTAAAATGAGGTGACTATGTTGCCAATCTTGTAATGCGCTTAAAATTCATAAAGTCTATTCTATAAACTTTCCTTTATATTTTTCTACATATATAGCGATCACTTATTAATACCAGCATTATATATTCGATATATATATATATATATATATATATATATATATATTATGATATAATTATATATATATATATATTATAATATAATTATATATATATATATATTATAATATAATTATATATATATATAATTATGATATATATATATATATATGTATATATATATATATATATATATATATACAAACACACAAGACGAATTACCCGCGCCTTGCTGTGTGTTCCACTATTTTGTAAGAAAATGATTATTGATATTAAATCATTGTTATAATTTGTGAAGAAATATGATGCATTTCGACATTGCTCAATGATCTTGCCTCTGTGACCTCCATCTTCTGGCTTTATCCTATATTTAGGATAGGATTCATTCTCTTGTTCAAATTTAACTTCAGCCAAGAGGAAAAAAATTCAGTGGAGGGTTTGTGCAAAAGAATCTTGATTTGACTTCTTTGATATGTATTAGATGCAATACTTGATTGATTTAATTGATGAGCAGATTACAACAGTTGAACTTTCGCAATAAATACGTATTGTTAGACACGACACACTGAATTGTGATTTCATTTTGATCTTGCCGATGTGGCCTCCATCTTCTGGTTTTTCTATTGTATTTTGGATGGGAATCATTTCCTTGTTTAAATTTAAATTTAATTTAAATCAAAGGGGAAAAAAATTAAGTGGGGAGTTTGTGCCCTCACCCCGGGAATCCCCTTTGATCGAAGTGAAATATGCTTATCCAAAATCCCTAGGAGTCATTCCCTTCTTAAAATTTAAATTTAATTTAAATCAAAGGAAAATAATTTCAGGGGCAGGGCGGAGTGTTATGCCCTCCGAGGACTCCCTCTAATCAAAATAATGTTACCGATATGACTTCCATCTTTTGGTTATTTCCTTCTATATTTTCAATCGGAGTCATTCCCTTGTTCAAATTTAAATTTAATTTAAATCAACGGAAAAAGAATTTCAGTGGTGGGAGTTTGGCACGCCGGAAGCCCCGTTTAATCAAAATGATATATACTTATCCATGTACCCCGGGTAATGTAGTTTCAGAATATATATGGCTATGGGCGTCTATCTCCCAAACCCTAGGATGAATTCTATAACAGACAGACAGAGAGGCTATAACTTTATATATATATATATATATATATATATATATATATATATATATATATATATATATATATATATATATATATATATATAAAAAGAAAGAACAGTAAGATATGTAATCCGGTGTTCGTATTGATATTTTTTATTTTTTACATACATACATACATACATACATAGATAGATAGATAGATAGATAGATAGATAGATAGATAGATATGAATTGACTTAGATAGATAGATAGATAGATAGATAGATAGATAGATAGATAGATATGAATTGACAGATAGATAGATAGATAGATAGATAGATAGATATGAATTGACATAGATAGATAGATAGATAGATAGATAGATAGATAGATAGATAGATATGAATTGACAGATAGATAGATAGATAGATAGATAGATAGATAGATAGATATGAATTGACTTAGATAGATAGATAGATAGATAGATAGATAGATAGATAGATGTTTTGCTTTTCTTTTCTTTTCCTTATTCTTTCTTTTCTTTCTTACTGCTTTCTTTTATTCTCTCTTTGCTTTTTCCCCCTTTTTTCTTTCATTTCTTTTCTTTCTTTTTCAATGTTTTTCTTTCATTTTTAATGTTTTTCTTTATCTCTTTCTTTCATTTTACTTTCTTCGCTTTTCCTCTCGTACATATAACCGAATAGTTGGCTCTTTCGGGCCGAACATGAAACATTGTTTAATCTTCAACATAGATTATTTTACGTGCGTCCGACTTTCCTAGAGGGACGCTGTCAGTATTACTTATCGTTTTAAATGAGCAACTTATGATATGGAAGATTGTTTTTTCTTTTACTGTTTCGTTTTTATCATTATTATTATTATTATTATTTTATTTTATTTGACCGGGAAAAGATAGACTAGCACATTCGTATTAACTGGCTTCTGCATCACTCAGCTTAAACAAATTTGATCATATTAACTTACTGTAACACAGGTCAAAATGTGAAATTTAGTCTTAGATTTAATCGATTTCAATGTGTATTCTTTCGAAACCGAAAAATTCTCAATCTGTTCAAGCAAGCAAATCACAGTAGCTGAAAAGAAGACAGATGAAGCCAAATCCCAAAGGAAATAAAGTGCAAGGAAAGTGTAAAATTCAACTTTTACTGTATAATCTGGCGATATATCAGATGTATACTTCCAAAATCGGATTTTTATGGTGGATATATTTTTATTCATCTATCTATGAATATTTATTTACTTTGTACAACCCCAAAATACAAGTGGGCGCTACCTAATTAAGATCGAATTCGGTACAAAATTAATGGTATATAAGATATGGCGAGGTACTTTCCTTACTTATAAAATCATCTCAGCATATAGGGATATATCCATTTATATAGGGTACAGTAATAAAACCTCCTGCACTTTATAAGTTTAAAAATATATTTTATTCATTTCATCCCAAGCAAGGCAATAAAGTCACTAAGATATAATATAATTACTGAGTGTTCGAGAATATGAGAAAAATAATATTAAGGAGAGAGTACAAGACACGAACAAGAATTTGGTTGGAATTTCGAACTGGACTCTTTATTTCGATCACTGGGGTAGAAATAAAGGGTTCAGTTCGAAATTCCAACCACCTGACGAAGGCCGGAGCGTACAACGGCCGAAACGTTGTGACAAATATGGCAACAAAGATGAGGACAATAGTCCGACTAATGTAAATACTGTTCTAAAGTCTTCTCATTCCTTTTCATTCAGAACAGACCGTTGTGTCTTAGCGGCATTATCGCCTTGCTTTTGGTGAATTGATTCAAAAGAAATATTTCTTATTTCAGATTCTACTATATTCAGAAACATGGTCATGCAAACACAATTTTTCTAAATTATGCGAATCACACCAGTTTACAAATGAAATATCACACACATAACTGTATGCACGCAAATATACATATAAATATATATCGTTATGTTTGAACGTGTGTGCGAGTAGGTGTGTGTATGGGTGTGTGTGTGTGTGAGGAAAAGAGATAGAGAGAAGGTTTTAAAATGCATCCATTAATCATTTGAATAGTCTGATATTTCCGATTCTCGACGGATGTCGCATGGAAGTTTCCGCTCACATGCCAAGTTAAGATTGTGCAAAATTCCAGAACGAGGCTCTTTCTCCTCGATAACAGAAGCGAGGCCACTACCCATCTTAATATTGGACGAAGGAAAAAAACTAGGGTAATAAAAAAATAAAGGATATTTAATGATGGTATCAGTAAGAGTTAGTTTTGCCATTAGTGAACAGATGAAAAATATATATATATATATATATATATATATATATATATATATATATATATATATATATATATATATATATATACCAGTGCAACAGCAAAATTGTCCAAATCGTGGAACAGCAGAATTCTCTACCATACAAAATGTTTAATATCTAAAAAAAGCACTAAACTATTTGAATTATTTTTCTCTAAGTTTTCAGATAAGACGTTTAGGCATCTTAGCACCATTTTTCCGAGAATCGCTGAAAAACTCTTTGAGTTATTTAGTTAAAAAGAGAGGGAGTTAAAGCCTTTCTTTGTGTCCGACTGACAGTCTTCCCAACTGAGCAATGGTGATTGCTTTTTAAGCCCCGCGCTAAAATATCTATTAAAATTTTCTAAAATTGTCTTATTTCCGTGTAAATGTACATGCTGAACTCGAATTAACAATTAAATTATGAAAAAAAAAAACTACCATTTTGGATTTATCTTCTTGTCGGTCATTCGTTCGCCATTACTGCCATAATTTTTAGTAATTCACTGCGGGGTACTTCCGTTGGCGTAAGCAGAAATGATGGCCTATTTAATTCTTTAACTGAATTTAACTTCGAAATCACTAAGCACTGTTGTGAAGCATTTTTTTGATAAGTGTAGTCATATTTTATAACATAAAACTTTAAACGAAAACAAATTCAATAATACAATAAAACCTGTTTTTCTGTGTAGAATAGCAATGGCAAATTAAAAAAGAAGAAAAAGAACAAAATAATACAATAAATGCATTTCTTTTAAATTAAAAATAAAATAAACAGTAATTAGAGTCAAAATTTCTGAAATGGTGGTTGAAATAATGGAGCACAGAGTAAGGATTGAACTCACTACTTAGACGTAAAATTATCTAACGAGACAAGCTTGCTAACCATTGCAACACGTTGAAGATTTTCTAATCGCAAATTAGATGTGGTGCCAGGTCGAAATTATGGAGCACTCAGCACTCAGTCGTAATTGAATAAGCGAGACAAGCTTGCTCACCACCACGAAAGATATGTAGATGGATAGAAATCTTGAAAGTTGGGATACTATAAACGATTTGGATGATATACTGCCAGGAAATGTGACTGACCGGAAATAGTTGACGAGTTGAAGATATGGATGGGGGACTGGAAAAAAAATCAGGGTGCGATCGACGACCATGAAATGATTATTACCTTCGGTTTTGAACTATTGAAAGTTACAAAAAAGAATTTTCCTTATTGAGCTTCAAAAACAAGTTCGGAGGCTAGATCAGCTGGAAGGCTCCGATTATTTCAGTTTTGTAGGTGCTCAGGTTTGTTATCATCTGCATAGATGTTTTCTAATGATCAGAGAATGTCCCTTGGCAGATCGTTATGATATTACAAAAATCCATTATTAATCAAATTGTCAGTAGCTCCTCGAATTTCTCTGTATATATATATATATATATATATATATATATATATATATATATATATATATATATATATATATATGTATAATTATTTTTATAAAAAAAATTCATAACATAAATATGTTATAAAAAACCTACAAAAATCATTTTGACCCTAAGTGTCTTATCTGAGATGATGTTGAAAAAAAACCTATTTTGTAGTGATTTTATAACATATTTATGTTATGAATTTTTTTATAAAAAATAATTATATCTGCTCTACTTTGTATTGAGCACTCTTTTAAGAATAGTAATTGTTGGTTATTGGAATTCATTCCGTATACACCAATTATATACTTGTATATATATATATATATATATATATATATATATATATATATATATATATAAAAAAAAAGGCTTAAACACTAATATTCCACGGTCATAATTTATTCCATTGGAATCGTAAATACGATCCAATTCATCAGACCTACAAATTCAAAAAGAAAACAGAAAAACCAACACCGGAAATAAAAAATAAAATTTAGAGAGAGTATAAGTATGGGAGTGTGGGACGAATGTTAGAGCTATAGAGAGGGGTAACCGACGAGAGAAGGTGGGATATTCAAATTTAACAGAGAGAAGTTTTAAAGAGTGGAGTCAAAGACGGTTTAAGTGAGAGAAATATGAATGTTGCCAGATGTCTAATACATTAAAGATGTAATCGGAAAGGATACATTTTGTGGTGACATACACACACAATAGACGATCTAATCTTAAAGATCAGAAGAAGAGGGAGGGTGAGGAAAAGAAAAGAAAAAGGGGTGGACATTGAGTTTTACCTGGATTCTATCCTCTTGGAATTTTTTTTATACAGAAAATATATATATATGTGTATGCATGTATGTATATATATTTTGCATATGTATGTGTATATTTACCACTAATAATATATATATATATATATATATATATATATATGTGTGTGTGTGTGTGTGTGTGTGTGTGTGTGTGTGTGTGTGTGTGTGTGTGTGTGTTGTATCGTATCATAAATAGTTTTCCAAATATTGGGCGTGGGTTCCTCACGCCAAAACAATGACAAAAGTCCATTTAAACATATGTCTGCAAATACTTCTTTTTAAAGATATTAAGTTTAAAGAGAGTTTATAGTAGATGGCGGGATGTTGTCACGTAGGCTAGGTTACATTTGTCATTCGTGTACATTTGTGGCTAGTCTGTCTTCAACTTTTAACTTTTGTAGAAGTCAGTTAACTGAGAAGTGTTTCGTTGAACAATGGCAAAATATTCATATCGTGAGCAGGCAGATATGATTTATACTTACGGCCGCGCGATTGATAATTGACGCGAAGCTGCATGGGTGTATGAGATTGTGTTTCCAGATCAAAGGCAGCCGAGTCATCCAACCTTTGCGGGTGTTTATTGTGGCGTTGCTGAGACAGTATCCGTGGCACAACAAACTATGGATCGAGGAAGACCGAGATCCGCTCGTACGCTTGATCACGAAGAACACATTCTACAGGCTGCCGGAGATAACCTAGGTATCAGCACACGCCAAGTAGCCCTAATATGGCGTACGGCTCATCGTAGCGCATACAGCGTACTTCAAGGGCAGTTCCTGCATCCGTATCATTTGCAACGTGTGTAGGATCTTTCATCCTCTGGTAATTCATCACGGGAAAACGTTTACCGATTGATTATTACACAAACTGCTGATCCGTTGTTTGTCTCTTCAGTCTGGTTTACGGTTTGGAAGAGATGGAATAACAAATTTACACCAATATTTTCACCGTTGATAATACGAGGGCGCATGTGGTTCAGGCATAATGAGTTTCTAG